CCCACCTCCTCCTGACTTCTGGCTTCCTCAGGATGGCACCGTTACTGCTCTTCACGCTCTTCACCACCCTGATGTCTTGAGTAGCCCGATGCCGGGCTTTGGCCAGTCTGAAGACGAACTTCTCTGCGTTTCTGCTTTCCAACTTCTCGTACAAGGCGTCCATCTCCGTGTTCTTCGCCTTGGCGACGGCAGCCTTAGCGAGCCTCTTGCAACTCTTGTAGGCAGCGAGGTCCTCGGGGCTCCGGGTCTTCTGCCAGCGCTTGTATGCTTCCTTCTTCTGCTTCACGACTCGCTGGACCTCCTCGTTCCAGAACCACCTTGTCTCCTCTGAATCCACCTCGCGTCTCGCCCAGTACCTCCTTGGCGCATCGTAGGATGATCTCAGCTGCCACTGGTCCCTCAGGATCTGGGAGACCAACTTCCATTATCCTTCGTTTGAGGTCGCTCTTCTCTGCTCGGTGCAACTTCCACCACCGGATTCTCCTCTCGGTTCTTACCTATGTCTTCTTGAGGTCTATGGCTATGTCGGGGTGACCTTCTGACAAGCACATGATCGATTTCCTGTCTGTCTCCCTCCACTGCTGTAGGTGACCTTCTGAGTCTCCCTTTTCGCGAAGAACGTGCTGCAGATTGCCAGATCGTGGGCGTAGCCAGGTCCAGGACCCTCTCTCCCTCGGCGTTCCTCACTCCTATTCCTCTACCTCCGTGCACCCTTTCAAGGCCTCTTCTGTCGCTGCCGACGTGCCCATTCAGATCACCTGCTATGGTCAGGTAATCGCCTTCCGGAATCGATCTGATGGCTTCGTCAAGGCTCAGATAGAACTCGTCCTTCTCACTCTCGGGGCATCCGGTCTGCGGTGCGTACACGGAGAGTATTGACCAGTACCCCTCCTTCGTGTCTATCCTCACAGCCATTATCCGATCGCTGATCCTGTTCACAGCGGAGACATACAGTAGCGGTCAAAAGTTTGGAAACTTTTTTATTTTTGATCTAGCGCGGCCGATACACAACGAAATTGTCCCAAATTTAGATATTCCATACAAAATCGAGTTCAGAATACGACGGGAAGAACAATTTCCAAAAACCTATAATCATCTTTGAGAAATAAGATTTTTGTCGCGGATGCGACGGTGGCCCGCTGGGCGCACCGCGCGCCCCGGCCCACTTGCGCTCGGTTGCCAACGCGCTCCAGCGCCATTGGCCCCGCCTCCCTGCGGTCGAGGCCAGTTAGTCGGCGCTACGCGCTCCGTCCTAGCGGCGGTGCTCGTAGGAGCTGGCCACCGGTGGCAGGTCGGTGTTCACCGGGCAACGCGATGAGGCCAGCTAAGGCGAAGGGGCACGTCGCTCCGTAGTCCATGTTGGCGGAGCGCCTGTCATCCCAAAGCCGGTCGTGTCCTTCCCCTGCTCCCCGTCTGGGAGCAGCCCTTACAACATCCCAGATAGGACACGTCGGCCGCATGGAGCCCCCAGAAGAAGCCGAGCCAACGTGGGGGTCTAATACGTCGAGTCAGCTGGTGGGGCTCACCTCTGAGAGAGGTGACCCCGGGAGTTCGAGGAGTATGGTGAGTTATTACGTCATAATAAATGTTAGTAAATATAATTGTGTTTTCTATGTATTATATGTGGGTTTACCCTAATTATATCGGTCTGTTGTGTGTCACTCGGGTTTAGTAGGGCTGTTTACCTAGGTTCAGCCCGTCGGCCACTAGTGAGTAGGTTGAGCTGCCGACGGGCGCCCCCTGTGTCCCCGGGGGGAAGTTGGGTCCGCTCCTCCTGGTGGGCGCTCAGGAGGCAGCGTGGTGGGCCGATGGAGTTGGGAAGCGGGCTCACCGTTCGCGACATGGTGCATCGGACCGTCGAAACGGACCCGCTCGGTTCCAAATTCGAGACCAGGAACCGGGTAGGGGACGGCCAGCTACCACTGTCCGCACCCGACCCATCAGCCATGCCGGAGCCGGTGGTCCCACAGGGGGACTTGGCAGGGCATTCGACTACTGGAGGCGCCTTCCCCCATTTTTGGCGTACTTCGGACGGTGGGTGCATCGATCCTAACCCGGGATGCGAACTGGCGGGGAAGGGATGGGGTTTACTGGTCCGGCAGGACTGTGGCAACCTGCCAGCTCGGAGCCCATTGCCGGCAAGATCCCTTCCCTGGGACCAGGATGCTCGGGGAAGCCCGGAGTTAGTCTCCAGGAGGCCTCTAGAGTAGCTCGCCGCGGTCGCACCGGTGCAGCTTCCGTGCGGGAAGTAGGTGGACCAGCTCTCGAGATGTCCAGTGGGGATGGAGAGTATGCGGGCGAGGGTCGTCGTCAGCCTGCGGTGTTGAAGCCGGGCGCCTTCAAAAAGTCGTAGAGTGGAAGGTCAAGCGGCGCGTGGCGCGAGCAGCGCAGGGTCTACATCATGGCCGGCCGTGAGTAGGCTGCCCCAGAAGAGAGGCTCGAAAGACCTCCTGTGGACTAACAAAAGGCCTACCTGGATCTGTGCCCTCAGCGCCCTTTAAAAGGTAAACCATCGGCTTGTACTCAGCCCTCCGGCCTTTCCAGGTAACTAGGGTCTCCCCACAATTAGTACGTAGGGGTTCAATTCCTTGTAGTTGTAGTTTAGTCCCTTTTTCCCACCCTTAGGTTAGATATCACGTATTATACTCACCACTGCCCACTCCTCCCAGTTCCAGCTTGTTTGCGTAATTTATTTCGTTTTTGAAGTTTTTCTACCTTTATTCCGTTCCCCTCGAGAAGACGAGTAAAATCCTCGTCTCTTAAGCTTAATCCGTTCTATATTCCGTCGGATCCGATTTTCGATCCCTACTCCGTTGGTTCCGTGTTTTTCGGTCCCTATTCCGTCGATCCCTCGTTTCTATTTCATTTTCCAATCGACACGTCATGAAAGAGACATCCATCGGACTTTCCCACGACGAGCGAATCGATATTGGAGCAATTAAGCACTTTCCCAGGCTTAACGGCACCGATCGATCCGATTCGGCGTGGAAAGGTACCACTCTCTCATGCACGCTCATGGGAAAGCAGAGAAATAGTACGAGGCGAGACATTACCGTAATCCTCGCTCCATGGGAAACTGACTGATAGGCGAACATCGATTGGCAACTCTCATTCTAATCGACGTTTGTCTACGATTAGCCTTCTGATGGAAGATTTGAGGAAATACGAATTACTTCGTGCAATCCAGAATCTCCAACGAGCTGTGGATAACACCTCTCCTTCACTTCTGGAGGACGTCCAGCTCGCTGAAGATCCGGATGAGGCGGCTGTGCAGCTCAAGGACCGTGATAAGGCCCTTCGCGGTTGCGCATCGCATATTGACTCGCGAGTGTCAATTCGCGAATCAAGTTCCGAGACGCAGCATTGCGTCATGCCCTTCAACGTGAGACTGAGGAGTCGCGCCGTGAACTCGTCAACGCTTACCTATCCCACTGGGCAACCAGTGGAGGGGAAGCGGCCGAGGACGCAGCAAGCGATCTTCTCGCTCGCCTTGAGGTAGCGATGCAGTCCTCTTCACCCTACTACATCAGCGAACTTAGCTCCTACAGGAGTTAGGTCTATTGCGTTTGTCCCAGAGCTTACGTCGCATCGTTCCGAAGAGGAACTCCTCCAGGAACAACACGATCGACGTCAAGATCGAACGGAGACAGAGGTACTTGTTAACCCAACCTCGAGTCAACCACGACTCGGAGAAGGGATAGCAACCCTCAGTAATACATTTCAAGATCGTGCCTTGCATGATCAAGCAGTTCGTTTGCCAACATTCGATCTCCCCGTCTTCGCCGGAGACATCGCCAAGTTCGCGGAGTTCTGGGATATCTTTGACTCTGCGGTTCACTCGAACCGTACCTTACCACCCACAGTCAAATTCCATTATCTCAGGACCTCGTTGAAGGACGAAGCATTGTCTATGGTAGCCGGGTACGAGATTACGGATGCTAACTACGAACTAGCAATTAATACGTTGCGAGAGACATACTTTCGCCCAGAATTCATTCGTATGCAACTGAGTAACCGACTTGAAAGTCTCAAGCCGGCAACAAACTCAGCTATCAATCAACGTATTACGTTAGCGCAAGTTAAGTCGCTATGGCTTCAACTTAAGAAGCTAGGTGACCATGACGAGAACATCTTCGTCATGCGCATAATACGAGAGAAGTTTCCTTCGAAGACGCTAGAGCAAGTAGGCTATTTGCAGGCGAAGGATTCGAGCTCGTGGGGTGTACCTCAGCTCCTTGAAGCGCTTGACAATGTGGTCAAGACCTTCGAGGTAGTAGAGGACTCAACGCCAGCTAGAAATCAACCATCGCATGCATTGGCTTTAAGATCATTTGCTCGATCTTCTTCAAGGGATTCGTCTCCTTCTAATGCGTACAACGGTAGGTCGCACACGACGTCAGAGTCAGTCACCGAGGCGTTCGCGTCGCCAAACACCGTATTCGTCAGCACAATGTGCCTTCTGCGGATCGAGACGCCACTCAGCATCTAATTGTAGTCGTGTGACGTCAATTAGTGCAAAGTGGAGCATCGCCGCAGACAAACATTTGTGCTTCAAGTGTTTTTCGCGACGTCATAGAGTGGAAGATTGTGACCGTCCTGCATGCTCAGCATGTCAGGGAGGTCATCATATCACCCTCTGCAGACAAGCGGCTAGACACTCGTATCGTACAAGACGCAGCAGGTCGTCTAGTTGGTCTTCTAGATCACCTAGTCGAGGAAGAGAACCGTTCCGTCAACCCCGTTCACATCGTGAACGAGCAAGATCACCACGACGCAACGGACAATCTTCACCTGTGCGAAGACGCAACTCACCGTATCCGCGTGCGGTCCAATTCCGTGACCGAGACTTCAACCAGAATTCTGTCGAGGCTTATGCTTCAGACGATTTCTACGTTGGAGATCTCACAGAGACCGAAGGGGAAGATTATCAATCCGACCCAACGGTTCAATGTACGGTTTTGCGACCATTCAAGCAGTCCTTACCACAGGACCCACGTCTTATGGTAGTCACTGCGCGAACACGCAATAATATTACGTCCTCAGAGGAACTGTTAGTGCTGCTGCTAGATAGCGGCGCACAACACAGCTTCATAAAAGAGGCTACTGCGTCGAGACTGGGACTTCCGTTTGAAGATTCTCAGCCACTCACTACGCGAAGCTTCGGAGGTCATCTGACAACTGAAGTTTCATCTCGTGTTTCTCTAGTCTTACGAGACCATGCGGGTATACCTGTTAAACTCGCGGTGAGAACTCGTAAGATTACTACGTCAATTCATGCCGGAACTCATATCTCTCAAGATACGATACGAAGTTTACCGATATAATAGCGATCTCGTCACCGATGGAGATATCGACATAGATGTCCTCATTGGGATGGATCACTATTGGAGAATCGTCGACACGACGAGAGCACGAAGATTACCGTCAGGACTCATGATCGTGTACACACGATTTGGACCGTAGTAGTATCCGGTTCTGAAAACATTCCAGTTCTGCACATGTCTCAACAAT